AGAAACAACACGCACTATTTTGTCCCACCTCTATGAAAAAAATAGCAATTGAGTTAGCATTTAGCTTATCGATGAACTGTAATTAAATTCAAATAAATTCATCAAATCTGTGCAATACTATTTGTTTCTCACTAAGAATAACATCAAGCAAAACAAGATGCAGCTATAATTTTTTTTTAAGTATACCAATATTGGAAAAGAAGAAAATGTCATATTTGCCTTTCACAGTGTTTTCACAGTTGCACCAGCATATCTGTTACTGTTTCCAGAACCAGAGTGAAACAGACAGTCAATCTGCATGTCTGTTTCTCTGCCATTCATATGACAAAAAAACCCCCAACGTCATCTACGCAAGATGCGGTGTGTGGCTTGACATGCATTGAAGGGTGATTTAAAATATTGTTGTAACCGGAGAGAGTCAACTGGTACCACAGCAGATCCCAGTGCAAGATGGTCTCTAGTTTAGATTTCAATTTAATTTAATTTCCTGCGTGGTTCAATATCATTTATTACAAATGATATTATCAGCATTTTGAGCGGACTTTCTTGGTGTTAATCTTCCTGCCTGCTGTGCATCACTGTCAGTTCCTTGCTGGGTGAGGGTTGATATGTACGCGCACATCCATCTGTCCCGTTTTTGACTGTGAACGTGCATGCGAACATAATTTGTGTTTGCTTTTCTGTGTCTGCACCTCTGTGTGTATGTGTGCAAACCTCCTATTATGCGCCTGCACATGTTAACATGAGTGTGTTTTTGATTTTATGTGTATGTAGGCATGTTTGAGCGATACAGGTACATCCAGAGTACAGTCTGTCTGCATCTGTTTATGTTGTTTCTGCATCTGTCTGTTTTCTGCTTTTCAATTGTCATTTCTTTCTGTCTACTAGGCGAAAAGGTCTGAGGAGCATCTCCTTGCACGGAGCCCAGGTACTCAGGACATTAGAAGCAGTGAACCAGTGAAGTCCACTCATGCGTGCTCACTACAGAGACAAACATGCATAGCGCTCCAATAACAATCTATTGAAAATCCCTTGATGTTGTTTTCTTTGAAGGGCTGAGCAGAGTCGTCTCTTTGGACCAAATCTGTCTTTCTGCATCAAATATGCACAATTTTTTTGCTTGGGCTAAGAGACTTTAGTTATATTCTGTGTCTTTACAGAACATTTTTGTATAGTGAGAAAACAGCTTTTTTAGCAATGTAATCCAGGAACAACGGAAACAAGTGACATGGGGGTTTCTCCGTTTCTAGAATATAAAAATGGATCTAGTCTCTTCAGATATGAATTCATTCTATAGTCAGGGACAACTTTTTATTAAGGACCTATTCCCAAAATCAATATCTACTGGAAGATTCAGCAATTTGCATTAAAAGATGTATACAGAACACCTTTCATATCAAAAAAGATAAAAAGCAGCGCAAGAATTGTCTTATACAGTACCAAACATTACTTGAAACATGTCACATGTTTGTGAAAAAGTGAATCCCAGTAAGTTAGGTGGCAAACTGAAGCAAGTTAATAAGGTATTTTAGATTCACACAAACTAGTGTTAAATTTAAACCCAACATAAAGCAACTTAAGGTTATTTCCACCACGTGCCCCAGAGCGCCTTCAGTGTACCCTGGGTTTAATTCTTCTGGTCTTAATTCTCTACTGCAGGGAAGACACACTGATCTTCCAGAAGACTGTTTTAATTATAGTGAAATAAAGCCAATCCAAATGATCCCATAGGTGTTCTGCTGCAAAAAGTCATACCACATATCATATTGATATTGGCCAACCCTATGGATTGAGGTATGGTCATCCAGGGAAAGACAGAAATGTTCCATTAATGCCAGCAAAATGCTGTCAACAGCAGAACAATCAACAGATCTGCTTTCCCTTTGTCACTAGGGATGGGAATTCATCAGAGTTGGGTGATTCAGAATCCATTATCGATATTAGTTATCAGGATTAGATTCATGCAAATTAACTGTATGCTATGTGGTCACATTTTTATGTTTATATGTTTGAGGTATTTCTACTCTTTGTGAAAGTAATGTGTTACACAAATTACACAGAAGTCTTTAAAGTAATGCAGTATGGTACATTAAAAATGATTTGAAGCACATTGTGTCATAATTAACAATATAAACCTATAGGCTACAGTCCCACACATCAACACTAATCTCTGTTCTAATGAGGCACACATATGATCTTTCTCCTAATATTTAGGTATGAACACAAAGCAAAGATGAAAACCAGCACAAGGAGACTTTAAAGCAGTCACTATGCTGATTCTACTTTAGAAACATGAACAGGCTGCAGCCTGACTGCTCATCCCTGTGTCACCTGTTGACGTTAAGGGTCTGCCTGCTGGGCCGCATTCACTCAGCTTTAACGTAACTCCGGGTTCTTGGCTAGCTTAGCATTAGCATGCTGCCTGTGCAGATCCTTGCAAAGAGCCGACACTGTGTCAGCAGCATGATGCAGTTTTTTTTGTCTTGGATGCAGGTTCTACTTGACCATCGCGTTCTTGTCCTTTAGTGCAATAAAAATAAGTAATAAGTAATGTACATATCCATGCTGCAGGCTGTATTTTCCTCCTCTGGCATATGAAGTGAAATCAACTGATTGTAGCTCAAGTGCAGGTGGAACCAATAACCAGGATAAATGAGCAAGCAGAATAATTCCTATGAACTGAACAAGGAGGAATTACCAGGAACTACTAGTTGAACTACTTGATTCCCATCGTTGTGTGACACAACTTTTACACAGTTGAAAACTGCTGAATAAACTACCGGTCAAAAATTTAAGAACACCCTGATTTTTTACATGTTTTTTTAATTGAAAATTATGCAGTTTAATGTCTAATTACACTCTGAAATGAAAGCATAGTATAAATAAGCAATTGGAGTTAAGAAAATAAATGTATTCTAGACTTCTAAGCTGAACACAGTGGCTGAAGCACTAAACTATAAGCAAATGTATTGTGCATAATGTGCAAATAAACCCTTGTTTTTCTTTTGTGAAAAGCTCACTCGGGCACTTCATGATTTTTTCATCCAACACTAACGATGGCATGCTTGAAGCTACGAGGTCATGTGTGATGTGTTGCTCCACTTTCATCACTTCATCATCATGTTAAAGACTCTACTGTAGCCAAAGCTAATAATAGCATATGTGAATTTTTGAGGACATATTAAAGTTTTACAACTGTGCTATAGATTCCTTTTCAGCAGTATTTATTAGGATAGTTCCCCAAACACCGCTACTCTAGCAGCCTGATCATCAAAACCACAAACATGCCAAGTACATGCACAAAACAATTGTGAGTCTTGTTGCGTGTGAATACAGACTAATTACAGAGAGACATGATTTCTTTTCATCCCAAAGTATCTTCACATTGATTTGCGATATCTGAGTAGTCTCTCTTCTCTCTGAAGGTAGGCGTGCGGATGAATCTCAGTCGCAGTGCAGGTCTCAGATGGAATGCTGATTAGAGACACTAATCTGTAATGAGGAATATTCATGTGTCTGTAAGTGATCGCAGGAGCGAAGCAGAGCTGCTGCTACAGGTACAAGTGAACAGCAAGGCAGCCATTGTTTTTGTGGTTACTGGTAGAAGCGTACTCATTAGGATTCAGCGAGTTGCCGAGTACAGATGTCTGTGCACGTTGTGTGGAGATTGAAGACTCCTGACTGTCAAATTAACTCCTACTAAATAATGTTTGGATTATTGCTTTGCAGGCGTACGAGTATTTTTTAACAGTCATGCATTAGTTTAGCTAAGCAGGCAGAATTATTTTAGCTGTTAAGAAAGCACACTGGGACTGAGGGGGCTTTTGAAGAGTAGCTTTTTTGTAATAAATGACGTTTATATATAAAATTGTTTTAGGAAATTATGTTTTTCCACTCAGAAAAAGGAGAAAAGTATGAACACACAAACACTGTCGTTCAGAATAAAGCTCATTGCTGCATCACCCAGGATGTGAGTTTCGAGGCGGATGTGTGATTTAGCGTGCTTGCTGTACAGTGTTTGTAAAAATGGGGCACCAAAGGAGCTGCAAGTATAAAAGAAACTCAATATAATGTATATTCACAAAAAATCTGAATCAACGTTGCACACTCTTGACTTTGTTAGGAAAGTGGAAGAGGAAATTTGACAGCTGCCCTGAAGTCAAAGTTGGGTTGAAAGTTAATGATCTCAAATGCGAACACAATACATCACGGTACCTTTGTTATCGAGTGTTTTTCTTTGAAACAAAGGCACACAAGTTAAATGTGAGACAATTTTTTCATGCTTTACAAATGTCAAAAGAATTATTAGGTAGTTACATATTTAATATGTAACTATAAATGCACCTTGCCGTAACATTTCTCACGTTATTCTGCTGTATGAGTAGCAAATTACCAAATAAAAAAGTGAAACAACAGTCTTGAGGTTTTTAAAAGTATTTAGCGTGGTTGCTGAACTGCTTCTTTCACAGGTGCCTGCAGGAAGGGAGCATTCTCACATACTTGGGGGCGTGGGGTTTTCTCTTTGGCTTGTGCTAAAGGCTGGCCATTTCTGCAATGGTCAGCCTCTAGTGGTCTTCTATGGCTCTTGTCCTTTGGCCTCCCTCTTCCTTCTGCTGGAGTGGGCACACAATTGTCATTGGGACACGTGGCCTCAGGTCTACTGTAGTCTTGGGAAGGGTGCGGACAGCTCCGATCACACACACAGCAATAGCGTGTGTCTATTTGCTTTTTTTGACATTTTTTTTTGCTTTTTGACTGCCTTTTATTACAGATTTTGCAGTTGGTCGACTATTCTGCTCATTTAGATGCAGCAAATCTTAGAACTTGGAATGTTTTTTTTTTTTAATTCTCACTTTCTTCTCCTTTCTTCTTACATGTCTACGGAAGAGGATTAGGGCCACTGGGGGGAAAAAAAAGAATTCTGACTTTAATCTCAGAATTCTGACTTTATTCTCAGAATTCTGAGATTAAAGTCAGAATTCTGACTTTTTTCTCAGAATTCTGACTTTATCTCAGAATTCTGACTTTATTCTCAGAATTTTGAGGTGGGCACCTGCAGGCTTCCAGCTTCAGTGACAGCGATGTGTCCAGTTTGGCAGGTGGAGAACTAATTCACTAAATATGGTGGATATAAGTGACTTTTTGCGTGGCCGAGGGGTCCCCGAAGATGCTATTTTATTAATGGAAGAGCAGAAGGTGAGTAACAAAAAAGAGAAATAGTTTGGTGTCTCCTATTTTTACAGGAAAACAGTTACGGTACAGTTACGGTTAGCTGTTAGCATGCTTGTTAGCTTATAATGTTATATAGGAATGAACGTGTTTCACGATGTTACAGTATACTAGGTGAATTGACGTTTTAACTGTTGTTGATCGCAGGATCATCCCAGATGGGTTCGTTGCATTTTATTTTATTGTTCTACTATTTCAGAGTTTTTCAAGGCAGTTAAGCGGAGCTGTGTTACAGATGCTAGCCGCCTGCCAATATCACTGATATATTTGATGTGTACAAGTAAGTTACACTTAGTACAGCGGAGGAGAGAAGCTGTAATGAATGTTTATGCGGATATTTCACTCAGAAAAATGGGTGGCGTTCATACACAGCCACCGACACAGCCCCGGTTGTTGTTCTGACGGTGGCCGACTGACGATCCCCTCACAACATGTTAGCTAACACAAACTAATGTAGTGCATGTAACTGTGTATACGTTAGTGGTACAGTGTCGGAAGAAATGAGCAAACTGTTTATAATGTCAGAATGACATCATCTTTCTCCTATATATAAAAGTGCTGGCTGAGGAGCGCTGCCGGGTTGAACTTTGACCTCGGAGTGACGTGACGTTTGTTCGCACAACCAATAGAAGTGCAGAAAGTCGCAAATCAGGCATATTGTTCGCATAAACACAAAAATAAATAAATCAATAACGAAATAATCCCGATATTGTGCCAAAGAGTGATTTACAATGTTACTTTGTGTTCTATGTGTAATACCTTTGTTTAAATGACTAAATGGACTGTGTATTTATGACTGTGCGTTATAGTCTTACATACATAAGTAACATTCATATGTACAGATAAAAATGTACAGAGCTATGTACACAAGCGTGTACACAAAAGTCTACTGCTGATCGAGCTGCTCAGTGGTCGTACAGTCTCATGCAGAGAGCGTGGAGGTGTTGTCCATGGTGGATGTTAGCTTAGACAACATCCTCTCCTCCCCAGTCTGCTCAGTGGACTTTAGCAGACCGCTAAAGCTGGCCCTCCCGACCACTTTGTTAAGTTTCCCCCTGTCCCTCTCTGCCATTCCACCACTCCAGCAGACCACAACATAAAAGACAGCAGACGCCACCACAGTGTCGTACAACATCCTTAGAAGACGTACTACCTACATCATAACCAATCAAGTCCTGCTTTTTTTTAAATACAGAAGAGGATTTATTATTTACTGAAAGGCTATGCCTTAGTTTGCTTCTTTCATTATTGTGTTTCGCCCTGCATAAAATAGATAGCTTTTCTGATAACTACAGTCAGTACTCTCCTACTGGCATTAGCGCTGACCTAAGAGGCTTAACTGTAATATTGTTTTGCAGTGTAAATGTTGCAGAAAATGACTGTCTTTTCTTTCTTCCTGTGTGCAGATTGACTGTGACGTCATAGTGCTGATGGATGACGCAACTTTGGCAAACTATATTCCCTCGTACGGAGACCGAATTGCCCTCTTCAATTTCTGCAAAAGCAAGCAACCACTGTCAAAAAGAAAACTAGGACTTCTGCAAAAAGAGAGAATATTCACAAAAAATCTGAATCAGCGTTGCACACTCTTGATTTTGTTAGTGGAAATTTGACAGCTGCTCTGAAGTCAACGTTGGGTTGAAAGTTAATGATCTCAAATGTGAACACGATACATCACGGTACCTTTGGTATCGAGTGTTTTTCTTTGAAACAAAGGCACACAAGTTAAATGTGAAACAATTTTTTACGTGCTTTACAAATGTCAAAAGAATTATTAGGTAGTTACATATTTAATATGTAACTATAAATGCACCTTGCCGTAACATTTCTCACGTTATTCTGCTGTATGAGTAGCAAATTACCAAATAAAAAAGTGAAACAACAGTCTTGAGGTTTTTAAAAGTATTTAGCGTGGTTGCTGAACTGCTTCTTTCACAGGTGCCTGCAGGAAGGGAGCATTCTCACATACTTGGGGGCGTGGGGTTTTCTCTTTGGCTTGTGCTAAAGGCTGGCCATTTCTGCAATGGTCAGCCTCTAGTGGTCTTCTATGGCTCTTGTCCTTTGGCCTCCCTCTTCCTTCTGCTGGAGTGGGCACACAATTGTCATTGGGACACGTGGCCTCAGGTCTACTGTAGTCTTGGGAAGGGTGCGGACAGCTCCGATCACACACACAGCAATAGCGTGTGTCTATTTGCTTTTTTTGACATTTTTTTTTGCTTTTTGACTGCCTTTTATTACAGATTTTGCAGTTGGTCGACTATTCTGCTCATTTAGATGCAGCAAATCTTAGAACTTGGAATGTTTTTTTTTTTTAATTCTCAACTTTCTTCTCCTTTCTTCTTACATGTCTACGGAAGAGGATTAGGGCCACTGGAGGGAAAAAAAAGAATTCTGACTTTAATCTCAGAATTTCTGACTTTTTTCTCAGAATTCTGACTATTAACGTCAGAATTCTGACTTTTTTCTCAGAATTCTGACTTTATTCAGATTCTGCTCTAGAATTCTGACTTTATTCTCAGAATTTTGAGGTGGGCACCTGCAGGCTTCCAGCTTCGTGACAGCGATGTGTCCAGTTTGGCAGGTGGAGAACTAATTCACTAAATATGGTGGATATAAGTGACTTTTTGCGTGGCCGAGGGGTCCCCGAAGATGCTATTTTATTAATGGAAGAGCAGAAGGTGAGTAACAAAAAGAGAATAGTTTGGTGTCTCCTATTTTTACAGGAAAACAGTTACGGTACAGTTACGGTTAGCTGTTAGCATGCTTGTTAGCTTATAATGTTATATAGGAATGAACGTGTTTCACGATGTTACAGTATACTAGGTGAATTGACGTTTTAACTGTTGTTGATCGCAGGATCATCCCAGATGGGTTCGTTGCATTTTATTTTATTGTTCTACTATTTCAGAGTTTTTCAAGGCAGTTAAGCGGAGCTGTGTTACAGATGCTAGCCGCCTGCCAATATCACTGATATATTTGATGTGTACAAGTAAGTTACACTTAGTACAGCGGAGGAGAGAAGCTGTAATGAATGTTTATGCGGATATTTCACTCAGAAAAATGGGTGGCGTTCATACACAGCCACCGACACAGCCCCGGTTGTTGTTCTGACGGTGGCCGACTGACGATCCCCTCACAACATGTTAGCTAACACAAACTAATGTAGTGCATGTAACTGTGTATACGTTAGTGGTACAGTGTCGGAAGAAATGAGCAAACTGTTTATAATGTCAGAATGACATCATCTTTCTCCTATATATAAAAGTGCTGGCTGAGGAGGCGCTGCCGGGTTGAACTTTGACCTCGGAGTGACGTGACGTTTGTTCGCACAACCAATAGAAGTGCAGAAAGTCGCAAATCAGGCATATTGTTCGCATAAACACAAAAATAAATAAATAAATAACGAAATAATCCCGATATTGTGCCAAAGACTGATTTACAATGTTACTTTGTGTTCTATGTGTAATACCTTTGCTTAAATGACTAAATGGACTGTGTATTTATGACTCTGCGTTATAGTCTTACATACATAAGTAACATTCATATGTACAGATAAAAATGTACAGAGATATGTACACAAGCGTGTACACAAAAGTCTACTGCTGATCGAGCTGCTCAGTGGTCGTACAGTCTCATGCAGAGAGCGTGGAGGTGTTGTCCATGGTGGATGTTAGCTTAGACAACATCCTCTCCTCCCCAGTCTGCTCAGTGGACTTTAGCAGACCGCTAAAGCTGGCCCTCCCGACCAGTTTGTTAAGTTTCCCCCTGTCCCTCTCTGCCATTCCACCACTCCAGCAGACCACAACATAAAAGACAGCAGACGCCACCACAGTGTCGTAGAACATCCTTAGAAGACGTACTACCTACATCATAACCAATCAAGTCCGCTTTTTTTTAAATACAGAAGAGGATTTATTATTTACTGAAAGGCTATGCCTTAGTTTGCTTCTTTCATTATTGTGTTTCGCCCTGCATAAAATAGATAGCTTTTCTGATAACTACAGTCAATACTCTCCTACTGGCATTAGCAGTGACCTAAGAGGCTTAACTGTAATATTGCTTTGCAGTGTAAATGTTGCAGAAAATGACTGTCTTTTCTTTCTTCCTGTGTGCAGATTGACTGTGACGTCATAGCGCTGATGGATGACGCAACTTTGGCAAACTACATTCCCTCGTACGGAGACCGAATTGCCGTCTTCAATTTCTGCAAAAGCAAGCAACCACTGTCAAAAAGAAAACTAGGACTTCTGCAAAAAGTTCACCTCTCAAAGTGAGAGAAACAGTGGCTGACATGTCAGATTTGGATGACTTAATAAGACTGTATTTCAGACTTTCTTTCAGTAACAAAGAAATACTTTCAATTTTAGCACATAGTCATCAGACAATTATAAGTGTTCGAACTCTAAAGAGAATTTGTAAAAGACTTGGGCTTTTTAGAAGGAAGAATCAATCAAACTTGGAGGAAGTGCTAGCCTTTGTCCAACAAGAGATCATGACAAATGGACAGATGCAAGGTTATCGTTGGCTACATCTACGTGCAATTCAACATGGATTTGTGGTGTCACAAGATACTGTAAGATGCATAATCAAATTGCTTGACCCTCAAGGTGTGGAACTGAGACGAGCTCGACGGTTGAGAAGACGACAGTACAGCTGCAGAGGGCCAAATGCTCTCTGGCACATGGATGGCTATGACAAGTTGAAACCATATGGTATTGCTATCAGTGGCTGCATAGATGGTTTTAGCCGCTATGTTTTATGGATGGAGGCTTATACTACAAACAGTGACCCTAAATTGATTGCAAGTTATTTTCTGAAAACAGTTTCATGCATCAGCGGATGTCCAGAAAGGTTACGTGCTGACCGAGGTACCGAAAATGGTTGTGTCGAACAAATGCAGATGTTTTTACGGAGAAACCACACAGACAGTTTTGCAGGTGAGAAAAGTTTCCTTTACGGAAGAAGTACGGCCAACCAACGTATAGAAGGATGGTGGGCTACCCTACGCAAACAGAGTGCACAATTTTGGATGAACTTATTTCAAACTTTTCAGGATGATGGCCACTTCACAGGGGATTTTTTGGACAAAAGTCTTATCCAATTCTGCTTTCTCAATCTTATTCAGGTAAAAGCATGTGCTCATGCTATGTAATGTCTTAGCTGCATAAATAGAAAATATAAATATGGTTAGAACATTTTTTTTCTTTAAATTAAATATGAATTTTATTTCCATTTTAATATGTCTTGATGCATGCTCAATCAGCCAGGTAAGGAATGTTTTTTGACAGAACATTTCTCACACTGAAAACGCTACATCCAGATGAACAGAATCAACTTTTTGGGATTCCATTTTAATACTTTGATGGAATTGTATTCATGTTATCAGTGGAAGTAACTGCACCTTTCTCAGCACAGGTGCATGGAGCATTTTTTTTTTTTTATTGCCACATGGTTTAAATTACTATGGAGTCTGTTACCTAGTGGTCCTTTGGGCACGGTTTCAGAAAGCAATCCTATCATTTGGTTAATTCTCTATTGAAAATATATTGTAGAATCATTGCACACTGAGTATAAAGTGTTGGGCTATCTATTCAACAGCAGAATCATGCAGCACCATTCTGTGTCCATGTGCTGTTTAGTGAAAGTGCTCTTTTGTTGTTGCTGCTTGGTTTTACATTAATTAGAGGTCAGTTTCTATGTCTGTTGATTAATGAGTTAATAAGCCTCAACTTTGGCTAAATCTACTGGTACATGGTCTGTTTCATATACCAGGACTTATGTGTTGTATCACTGAACACAGGCTATGGTAGTGCAGTCGAGCATAGAACTATAGTGCACACAGTGGATAGACTGAAGCCTATTTCTATGGAGGATATCACTTTGTGTATGGAAGAGTGTAGCCCAAAAGGTCAACACCCCTGTGATGAAACAGTCTTTGAACTGTGTTGTCTGCTTATGGTAGAAAATGAATGGGATGCCCCAGGAGATCCACTTGGTGCTGCGGATCTGTACATTAGGTTAAGAGAAGAAATACTGCAAAGTATTTAAGGAACTTCAGTGTGTAAATGTACAAATAAATACAAAATATTTCTCTTTATCTTGATAACGTGATTTGATAGTAGGTGCCATGTCTTACAGGTACCTTTTATGCAGGTATTTCTGCACTGCATTAAATGAAAAATGTTTTTCTACATTCACACTACCGTTAATATTATTAAAAAGCTGAATATTGTGATATTATCAATCAGTTATGAAACACATGTCAATCCTTTTAAAAGGCCATACATTAAACTGCATTTACAAATGTTATATTTTTGATTGAATCATAAGTGGTGTAAACCTGCCTACCAGTAAATTGCAATATAAATTTCTGTGTTTTGTTGCCAGACATGTGCATAGTATATAAAATATAAACTGACCAGCTCCCTGCTCATTGTTTTCTGTATCAACCTTTACTCTTAATATTCATGGCTGGAAACCCAGGCACCAGCATATGATATGCTAAGTGCCCGGGTTATCTGTGGTATGTTTCAGCAAACCATAGTAGCATTAACAATTCTAGGTCTTGACAACAGCATGTTTCTATAAACGTATCATTGTTAATATTTAAAGTCGTTATGCCTTTTGGGGAGCTTTTAGTGCAATTATATTAAAGCAAAGCTATTATAATCATTTACCCATATGAAGATCCATCACTTAATTATTAATGTATTTCACTTCTGTTAGTTGTAAGATATTTTAGCTGGTTTTCATGTAAAATGACCATGAATCATTGCTATACTGATTCAGTGTTAGCTGTTGTATACAAGGCTCCTTCATGATATGAATCCTAAAATTATAAGAAACATACCAAAAATATTTTGACTTTTATTTGTAGTATCCCACAACAATGCAACAAAACAGTTCCTGCAAGTGGAACCAAGTTATTGTCCCATTAAGTGCAACATGTTTTACATTTATATTTGTGTATCTTTATGAAATGTTTGAAATTAAAAATAAATGGTATTCTTCCATGTTACTGAGCTCATGTGTGGCAGTCTCTTGAATTCTGGCATGTTCAAATAGATAGGAGCTTGATGAACATATTCAAAACAACAATACAAATGTACTGTGTACAGTAACATTTTATTGGAAAAAGTTTACAAGAAACCTGTTCTTGCCAATGCCAATAACATGGCTAAAACTCATAACCGTATAAGCTGCCCTGTAACAAGAATGACTCAACTTTTAAAACAAACTTATAGATCTCATACAGTCTTGTTATGCATCAGTATACATCAGTGACTTACTGTAAAGACCATGAACATTGGCTATTGTGGTATCACATATTCCTTCAGTGTCATCTATGGTATAGAAATAAAAACAAGTGTGAATGACTGAGAACATACATGCATACAAATAAAAATGCATAATTTCTGGCAGTAACAAGACATTTTTTCAGGTGTTAAGATTAATACTATATCTGAGAACATGACAATTTGGCATTACAAAAGGATGCCTGAATAATCACAGTACTTGACCACTGCACTGAAGTGTACAGTGTTTATTTATGATCTCAGTAATCAATAACCTCTTCAAAACAGACTGAATCCTTTAAGCAGCTTGAATCAATTTGATGGATGAATAACAGGTATGCTTAGAAACAATATGACATTAAGAAAATACTGGAATTTTAAAAAATATTTTCACCAACTTTATATGGAACCTTTGTAATCAACAACAAATGCCAAACTTTGATACCTTAACCTACCTTAACTAAAAATTGCATATACTGTAAAGCAAAATGTTTTCAGACATGACAAATGCTAAAGTATAAAATTGTACTTATTCCTTTTACAATACAGTGTCGCATAACAGCATTACTTTTACGTTATAACTATGTTCAGTTTTAGCCCTGACCTAATAAGAAAATACCATCTGAATGAATTAGTCTTTCTACTAATTACTTACAAAAGTATTTGACTGTGCTGAGCTCTCACACCACACATGGTGCATTAAAGAACGTTTAAGAGCAGTTTAATTAAGTTTATAGATCTTAAGTAATCTTTCTTCATGCTTTTGCTGAAGGTTTCTGTCTTACAGCTGGAAAGCTTGGATTTGGTGAAGACAGCTCTGGATATGGTAGTAAACAGTGTACCTGTTCGTTTTGTTTTGTGACTGTATTATGTAAAACTCAAAATGATAAAAGAAAATGAAATATTAGCCAAAACTAGACTTCTAACAGAGATGAGAAACTTCTCTCTAATTAAAAAAAGTATACTGTATAAGTTCAAAATACATAAAAATACATATTCCTAACATCTCTTTACAGTTATGCTCTAGTGTGCATGAGCAGTTCAAATGTAGCGCATTGCTGTGAGAGTCTAAACAATGTCCATCACCCAGACATTACTTTCAAGAACTGCATTAAATTCAGAACGAAAATCTGGGAAGTTTTCATAGCTGTTAGCTAGCTGCAGAACATTCCCACACGTGCGTCCGACTGGTCTTCTTGTAAACTCTGTCATATCTTGAAATTCCACATAAATACTGTTTGTTACTATAAGGTCAGATCCGGTGCAGAAACGCATAAATTTCTGAAGTTTAATGTTATCCAGCTCTCTGATGAATCTTTTGAGATGATTTTTCACTTCTTTTTGTTGTGGAGTCAAATCCACAGCAAATTTCAGCAGCTGGCACACTTTTTTTGAAGTTGGTTGCAGTTCAGAGAATAACTTGGTCAGTCCCTCCGGACTGAGGGAGATATGGGGGTCGATGATCTCCCGCCAGCAGTCAATAACAAACATTGGTTTTTGGACAAGCTCTTTGTGTGCTATTTCATCAAGGATTGTAGGAAGAGTCTCAGCAGTGATTCTTTTTCTACAGCCATAACTGTCAAGAATTTCCACAAGATCATCCAAGTCAACTGCAGAGAAATCTTTTACTGCTTCCATCAAAACATCACATTCTTGGCTGCTGACAAACTGTAGAAAGTGTGCTTTAAGATCACTGTAAACACCACTGAAAAGCACTTGTTCCAGAAAAGGGATTGCAAGTTTATTTGGAAAATACTGACATTCTTGGTAACCTTTCAGGAGTATTCGCCCAACTGCCTTCCATTTTTCAGCAGGAAAATCATGGCGAATGAATGGCACTTTAACGGTTGCACCTAGGGTGCATCGCTCATAAAATTCATGCCAGAAGCATGTGAGTACATCTCTTAGTATTCCTGATCCAGTGCCTGGTTCTTCTGTGTTGTCTGGAAGTATGCGCTTCACATTCAGTGTTTTGGTCAAAATCTCCTCATCAGAGAAAGCAGTAATCATGTCATGTAAAGTGTCAGTATGACGTATGGTGATTGTTATTATGTTCTCTGAATTAGGTGGACTGAGGGGTACAAGAAAACCCTCATAGACTAATGTGTCTTCTGTATCTTCTTCAGCATCAAAAATTGGACCAAAAGTAATTTCTGGATCATCTAAAATTTCTGAACCAGCGATGACTTCATCAAAATTACCCCTGACTTCCCCCACTTGCAATGGATTAATATCACTGCCACTGCTTTCTGAGACAAACACCACTTCAGATGTCTCGCTGGCATCTTCTTCAGGATCTTTTGGTTTTGTTGCAATGTAGAAGCGTAACATTGTCAGTCTCGCTGCCTCATACATATTGCCAATAGACTGGCAGGTATCATCAGTAAGGTGGTTCTGTTTAAAGTCCCAAACCTCAAACTCAAAATCTGTTTCACATCCCTTAGGAGATATGCCATTAGGAAAAAAAAGTTTCTTTCCTTCCTGAAGAATATCTTTTAATCCAGCATCAGTGGCCATTTGAATTTTTCTAGTGCCACCTCCCTGCTTCGCTCTCACCTGTTTGGCTATTTTTCCATCACAATGTATCCATCCTATCTCAACATTGCGTGTTGCTTTTTGCTTCTTTGTCTGTCTTATTCCTGCATCTGTATGTGAAGTGTTCTCCTTTGGACTTTCTTTTCTGGTTTTCATTTTCTCACGAAGTTTTTGCAGAAGTCCTAGTTTTCTTTTTGACAGTGGTTGCTTGCTTTTGCAGAAATTGAAGACGGCAATTCGGTCTCCGTACGAGGGAATGTAGTTTGCCAAAGTTGCGTCATCCATCAGCGCTATGACGTCACAGTCAATCTGCACACAGGAAGAAAGAAAAGACAGTCATTTTCTGCAACATTTACACTGCAAAGCAATATTACAGTTAAGCCTCTTAGGTCACTGCTAATGCCAGTAGGAGAGTATTGACTGTAGTTATCAGAAAAGCTATCTATTTTATGCAGGGCGAAACACAATAATGAAAGAAGCAAACTAAGGCATAGCCTTTCAGTAAATAATAAATCCTCTTCTGTATTTAAAAAAAAGCGGACTTGATTGGTTATGATGTAGGTAGTACGTCTTCTAAGGATGTTCTACGACACTGTGGTGGCGTCTGCTGTCTTTTATGTTGTGGTCTGCTGGAGTGGTGGAATGGCAGAGAGGGACAGGGGGAAACTTAACAAACTGGTCGGGAGGGCCAGCTTTAGCGGTCTGCTAAAGTCCACTGAGCAGACTGGGGAGGAGAGGATGTTGTCTAAGCTAACATCCACCATGGACAACACCTCCACGCTCTCTGCATGAGACTGTACGACCACTGAGCAGCTCGATCAGCAGTAGACTTTTGTGTACACGCTTGTGTACATATCTCTGTACATTTTTATCTGTACATATGAATGTTACTTATGTATGTAAGACTATAACGCAGAGTCATAAATACACAGTCCATTTAGTCATTTAAGCAAAGGTATTACACATAGAACACAAAGTAACATTGTAAATCAGTCTTTGGCACAATATCGGGATTATTTCGTTATTTATTTATTTATTTTTGTGTTTATGCGAACAATATGCCTGATTTGCGACTTTCTGCACTTCTATTGGTTGTGCGAACAAACGTCACGTCACTCCGAGGTCAAAGTTCAACCCGGCAGCGCTCCTCAGCCAGCACTTTTATATATAGGAGAAAGATGATGTCATTCTGACATTATAAACAGTTTGCTCATTTCTTCCGACACTGTACCACTAACGTATACACAGTTACATGCACTACATTAGTTTGTGTTAGCTAACATGTTGTGAGGGGATCGTCAGTCGGCCACCGTCAGAACAACAACCGGGGCTGTGTCGGTGGCTGTGTATGAACGCCACCCATTTTTCTGAGTGAAATATCCGCATAAACATTCATTACAGCTTCTCTCCTCCGCTGTACTAAGTGTAACTTACTTGTACACATCAAATATATCAGTGATATTGGCAGGCGGCTAGCATCTGTAACACAGCTCCGCTTAACTGCCTTGAAAAACTCTGAAATAGTAGAACAATAAAATAAAATGCAACGAACCCATCTGGGATGATCCTGCGATCAACAACAGTTAAAACGTCAATTCACCTAGTATACTGTAACATCGTGAAACACGTTCATTCCTATATAACATTATAAGCTAACAAGCATGCTAACAGCTAACCGTAACTGTACCGTAACTGTTTTCCTGTAAAAATAGGAGACACCAAACTATTTCTCTTTTTTGTTACTCACCTTCTGCTCTTCCATTAATAAAATAGCATCTTCGGGGACCCCTCGGCCACGCAAAAAGTCACTTATATCCACCATATTTAGTGAATTAGTTCTCCACCTGCCAAACTGGACACATCGCTGTCACCGAAGCTGGAAGCCTGCAGGTGCCCACCTCAAAATTCTGAGATTAAAGTCAGAATTCTGAGAATTAAAGTCAGAATTCTGACTTTATTCTCAGAATTCTGAGATTAAAGTCAGAATTCTGACTTTATTCTCAGAATTCTGAGATTAAAGTCAGAATTCTTTTTCTGAGATTAAAGTCAGAATTCTTTT